AGTTTGACTTCAACACTTCTTTGGTAGATGAACGAGGAGAACAAACCTAGTGTTCAATCCACCTGAGTCAACAGCTTCTCTAAATTTGTCAGTCAGACGATACCGACAGCAAGAAATTAAATTTCCATTTTCATGAGCTCTTTCACATTCAAAAATGACACAATGTTCATGGGACTCACCCTTTCTTATCATCATACTACAATTCAATGAAAAGGTATGCACTACTATTTTACTTACTCAATGCTATTAATGAAATCTTGTTCAGTTTGAAATGCTTCCAAATGAATTCTAGTCATGTTTTCCATATCCATTCCAATACAATTTGCTAATTCCTCAAACTCAGTTTGTGAGAGTGTTGGAGTGTGAGTAGTCACCTAAAATATCACACAATATGAAGTAGGGCTGTTAATTCTGCTTTTACCTGTAATAGTATTTGATTATCTGGAGGAATTCTATTCATGAGATCTGCGAGTGATGAATGCTCTTGATGTACAAAATAGATTTGTTGATATTTCTTATTCATGCTATCATTATAAATGCTTCTGACTATAGCATCTGGAGAAGCAATCTGTAACAACAGCCTTTTACTGATCTCTAGAACCTATATCATATTATATATACATAAATTTACTGCTCTATAGCCAATATTGAATTTAAAGATACTTTTTCTGTATCATTCTCTGAGTCTGCTAAAAATGTTGCTTGTAGTACAATGGCTGCATTTGTATCTGAACTGTAGCCAATAAATGCATCATTTTTAGTGAATCTACATTATTTTTCATTGTGAGCTATCATATAATTCATTAAGGTACCTTTCAGTAAGAAATGTTTTAATCCAAGTGTCCAACTGATTGCAAACATCTTTCTCCCATGGTTGTAACACTGTTGTAGCATCAACAAAATGCTTTTCAAGTCTATTAATAAGAGGAGTTGGAAATTCCTGATACACTTTATCCCTCTCTGCAATTAATACAAGCCTATTTTGGAATTATAATTGTTTTAATACAAATATGTAGAACCAATACAACAGTTATAATCTAACTTGAAGTTGGGATGAACAGTACATTTCATTCTGTTACTTCTAAGGCCTAGATCTACATATCTGTGACCACCACTTTTGATGTAATACTATAAATGTAACTAATGTGGGATCATTGAATAAGCTATGTACTTGATTGAGGACATCATACAAGCTCTCATATAAATTTTCCAAGTTCAAGAGTATGACCATGCGACCACTTTCCATACAAAGCCTAATTTCACTAATGTTTCTACAAACCTATAGTATATGTCCTCTTAATAATAGAACAATTTTGCTTCAATTCATACCTGAGCGAATTCTTTGTCCTTGGGAAAGCTGCTGCCAAACAGAACAAATGGCTCAGCTTGTTGAATACTACCTTCTGGTGAGGACTGTGAGGTGTTAAAATCTTGTAAGCACTTTAAAACAATATAATGCTTTAAAACTTGAAGTGAAGAGTAATTTTGAGTCAAAAATAGAAGATAGCGACTTTCTCTATCATTAAAGTACAAAATTGTAGTATTTAAAGTTTTTATCATCATACCCATGGTAAGTTATTTTTTTGTTGGATAAACTTGCACTGATTAAACCAAGAGAAGAGTAATCAGGATTTGTAATGGGATCATCCTAAAATATATTATAAGATAATATGAAAGCTGTTAACATTACTGGAGCAATGAGGTGATACTGAGTTAAAGTATTATACTGCTCAGGGCTTAACTTCTGCTGGTAGGAACAAATCAAAAAAGCCTTTTTGTCTAAAATAATAGCTTATATAAAACCATTTGTACAATGTACTCTAAAATACCTTGTGTTGGTATTAATTGAAGATCACATTCACGTGAACTTGCAGCCTATTTGATATCACAGTTTGAGTAAAAGTAATTACAATTATATAGTATTACCAAGCTTGATTGCATAACTTTAAGCCACAAGGAGTTTTTGCAAATGTACTGCAATGAAAATCTGCCTTTCTCTTTAATATGAATAATGAACTGAGCTGAAACAAGTATGCACATTTATATTTCAATGATAAAGTTAAACTTACAATTTCTTAACTGATTGGTTGTAAACACAACATTATTG